GTGGAAGGATGGAAGGATAGGAAAACAGGGGAAAAGGATTCCCTCAGGGTCAGTTCCCTGAAGAGGTGGAGACAAGTTCTCTTAGTGCAGGGTGGGGAGGGAGAAGGGGCAACAGGGGGCAACTGGACAGAGTCCACGATGTCAGGTCACCATGGCCCCCTGGCCCATAGCTTCAGGATGCACAACTAGGCAGGCTCCACCCTTGGTCCCACTTGGGCTCCTCACATCAGAGGTCAGCAAAGTTCACGATTTCTGCCCTTCCTATCTGCAAGACAGAGAAACCGATGGATTATTTCTTCCTTGAAACGGTGTCATTAATCCATTACCCTCTTCACCCCATCTCTCTTACCTTCTGCTCACAGGCTTTGTTCAAAAACAAAAACAAAAACTCCTGTAGAAGAACAACACAATCTGAGTCTCATACCTTAGCTTCAGAGGTTGATTCCCTTCTTAGACTACCATCTAAATTCTCCTCCGAGCTAAGCTCAGAGCTGGAGCAGTATATTCAAGGCCAAACAGCCCAGGAAGCTGAAAATGACCCTGCTCTGAAAGGAGCTCCCAGCCCATGACCAAGCAGTTGGCCAGCCGGCAGGAGCTCTGGTCTTGTGAGAAAGGGACAGAAAGCCCAAGTCCCGTGCTCCAACGGAACATCCGATAAGGAAACGCACGAGTCTGATAATCTTCTTCATCAATCAAACTCAACATCACAAGCCAACAGCATTAACAGACTTAGTCAGGCGGACACTATTCAAGAGGAAAGAGAAATGGTGCTAGCTAGTCATTCTATTCGCTCCCCAAACCAGAAATTGGGGACTCCTTTTCCATTGCTTACGGAATATTACTCATCCTCTGCCTTTCACCCCAGAGCGGCGACATCACTGGGAAAACCTGAAGGCTGAGTCCGAGTCTCTCCCCATCCCTTCCAGTTCTCCCTCCTAAATCAGCCTCGGTGGAACTCTCTCCCTATCCATGAACAGCTCAGAAGCAAGTCCTCAGCTAGCCTGGGGACATGGGGGACTGAGTCCTGTCATAAAAACAGTGAAAACTGAGTGGGACTGGATGCCAGAGAGAAATGCTAGTTAAGTCACGTGCAACCAATGGGAGAGAGAAGGAGTAGGCCAGTGTGATGGGCAAACAGTTTGAAGGAGACCTAGTTTTGGAGATTTTTTTCTGAAATAGATGGACTGCTTCTAGTTAGTAGCTCTCCTGTTGCTCTCCTCATCTTCCCGCTCCTAGGGAGGCCAGGGGCTGGCAATTCCTCTCCACCACCCACCCCCAGGCACACCCATCTCGGGAAAGATGAGGCAGAGACAGGGTCTTTGGGAACCCAGAGAGATGGTTTTGGAACAGTTCCGCCTTAGCCCGGGTAAAGCGAGCCGACATGAAAGGACAACTGGGAGAAGATCAAAAGGTGATGGGAAGGTGTGAATTCTGAGAATGAGAGGGCACTCAGTGGAGAAAACACAGCAGCGAGAAGCAGCCATTACAGGAAGTGGAGACTGAGGATGGATTACGTACAACAGTTAACATTTACTGAGAGCTTGATCTTTGCCAGACAGCCTTCTCAGAAGTGGTTCTCAACCTTCTGGTCCTTTCAATACAGGTCCTCATGTTGTGGTGACCCCCAACCATAAAATTACTTTCGTTGCTACTTCATAACTGTAATTTGCTACTGTTATGAATCGTCACATAAGTATCTGATATGCAGGATGGTCTTTGGCGACCCCTGTGAAAGGGTCGCTCGACCGCCAAAGGGGTCCCGACCCACAGGTTGAGAACCGCTGTCAGGGCTCCCCATCTACTTCCTGCTCACGCCAGCCCTGAGGCAGGTGAGAGGCAGATACTGTGACCCCCGTTGTACATGCACGTGGCTGGAGGTTCAGAGAAGCTGAGTACCTTGCCCCGCATCACACAGCGCCGTCGGTGGAGACCCGGGAGTCGCAGTCAGGCCTGTCGAGCTCCATGGCCCGTGCGCGTAACCGCTGCATTTCAGCTTCAGACCTGGAAGAAGCGGCG